CAAATTGTCTTGGGCAGTTGACTCGGGCCCTATTCGAGCGAGAGGCCTCGATCCCAAGATCCTCCAAGATGTCAAGATGGAAGCTGAAATAGGGCCGAAGAGCAGGGGTCGTTCCAGAACAAAAGTCGAGTATCACGAACCGACCTTCCATTTCTGTCCTTCCCCGGACCCCATTTCCCCTCAGCATCCACGGCCCCAGACATCAGGTTTGAGTGGGTTAGGGGCGGGGGACAAGCCCGGAGTAGAGGCAGAGGAGAACACAAATATAGTGGGCATTGCACATTCACAAGAGCCGCCGTGATGGTGCCGGATGTGACGCTGCTCGGTCGGGCCGGATGGGCAGCAGAGGATCTGAGCCTTGTTGTGAGGAACTTCATCTACATGTGTTCGTCTCATGTTGCCTAGTCTTGTCTTCATCTCACGATGCCTGCCGCCGGAGTGTAGATGCCGCCGCAGCGTTAAGCAGGGAGGTATTTTTGTTCGACCCCCGGATCGAACGGTGGCCCCGGGGGCGCTTCGGTCTCATTCTATGGATTGAATTGCCTTGGATAAATCTCCCGCATGCCAAGTTAAGGAAAACCCCGGATCCCCTCTCCAGATTTGTCTCCTCCAATACATCAAGGCCTCCAGCGCCTCAAGAAATCACCGCTCTGCAGAATAGAATGACGCCGTAGAGGAGCCGACTTAGACCACGAGGCTTTGACGCCGATGGGGGAAATTAGACTTGTTCGAGTGTCCCGTGGGGATGATCTGCGCTACCGACCGACGCGGAGAATCTGCGAGGAAGAAAATGGTCACGACACGCTAGGATGAGGTGGACGAGGGCGCAAAATTACCACGAGGACATGGGATGGAGGGGATTCGAGGGGGGAAAATGTTGGGGTTCGCCCTAGGTCTCACGACTCCACGATTCGATTCGCGAGAGAAGGTACCACACGTTGCAATAGCCTGTATGTAGAACACTCACAAGGTGTGCCCAGGCCATGTGGACAGGAGGGAACATGGGCAACGCCACCTGACCGCGAGAACGAGCAACAAGCGCTCCTCGGAAAGGAGGCTAGAGGCGGCAGACGTAGATCTTATTGTGGGACGTACGCGGTTTAAAGATGATGATATCGAGTATTGAGCTACGCTCTAAATGAACCCAAAGCCAAGCCAGGCGGAGACAGGTCTTCAGCCGGAGGGATTGTCGCGAACCGTTTATGTCTCTTTTGGGAGGAGAAGGGAGAAGTTTCTGAACTTTCTGGGCCCAGAACCGTCCCTTTAGCCTTCACGCATGAAGGTTAATTTCCGTCAGAAATACTGGGGATGAGATGTGGTGTAGCGGCAAGCGGCACATGGTGGTCCTGGTTTGTCCTAAAGCTGTCTCTAGTGACATGCAGCTAAAAGTCTAAAAGGGGGCGCTGACAAGAAGTCGCCAAGTCGCTTGTATTTTGGTACTCGTGAGTTGCAGATGTCAGTTTCTGCTATGCTCGCTGTTTTTTTCCATGGGGGAAATTTGGGGACTTAGGCGCAGGGCGTAACAGCTTGGCGGCGGACATGTCAAGCGGCCAGGAATAGGATCATCGATGCGCAGATAGAGTGCGCGCGGGACGATCAAGCGTTGACGGGTGGGTTCGGGGGCCCGTGAAGACGACATGACTCTGGACAATTGGTGAGAATAGAGAAGTTGAGTATCAATAGTACCAGTGTTCTTCAAACACACACAGTATTATTAGGTAAAGTACTCCGGGAAGGATTCCGAGTTTTGCGCGTACATGAACAGCCAGGGAAGAGTGAATTACAGAGCGATGCTGGTGTACTCAGAGTAGTAAAGATGATATAGACGTTTCGAAACGGCTGCACTGGCAAAGATGGGATGTTGTGAAGCTGTGTTCGTTTGGGGCCAATGTAGACTCCTGCATCAATCGATACTTCAAAGTTTATGACTGAACAGAGGGACTAAGGTTGCGTACCTAAAGCTCGCAATGCGGATATGTCCTAGTGAAGCCTTATAGAAAGTGTATCTACGATCCAGAATTCCAGAAATCAAGGCCGCGAACTCAGGCTGGGCCCGCAAGGTCATGACAAGTCAACAAGAGTAAGCATATCGAGTGCCTGGGCGCACGCGATGCAAGTGATGTGTCCTCGAGGCTTCAGCGTTGCATTAGGCATGGATGTACTCAGGTACGGCGATCCAGCGGTTGCGTGCGGTCCAGTCACCGATGTCCAGCTGGGGTCATGTCCTGCACGAGCTATTGTCCGCAGCTGATGTCTGGTCATTGACGGTCCTCCCAGAACTCGTAGTCGTAGTCGGACTTGGTAGCGATGCGGCAGAGGTACCTCTCCCGGGCCTGTCCTGGCGAGTTGACAGCGGACATGACTCCTGCAAGGGGCATGTAAACCGCCAGCATCGTCAGACAAATCCTGGGGGCATTTCGGGCTCGATGGACGGGATATCCCCTACGATTGGCGTGCCGAGGGCCGGCTCTGGTCTTGAAGTGGTACTATAACCCATCAATAGATGAAGGTTTTTCAACATCGTCCCTTTTGGACGAGACTGGTCTCACAAGGCTCGAAGCGATGGGTTTTCCCCACAGTCCATTAACCTTTTGAAAGTGAAAGAGACGCGCCGGGCGGAGCAGGTAACTGAATTTTCTCAACGTCTTCTCATGTGACAGCGCTTGGCTCTGGAGAAGGGCCGAGAGCATTGAGTATTGCGGGGTGGTATTGCAGTAGCTTCCAATATTGTGCAGAAAAATAGGCAAGTCGCTGATGACAAGATGATTCCTGGAGGCAGACAGTAGACCCGGGTGACTCTCTCTCACCACAAGGTTACAATGAGCAGCATCACGGGTGAGAAACTTCGAAGGGGGCCGATGGTAGCCCAAGCTTACAGAACGCCATGTATGTCGCGTGGCTTCAGTTGACAGGTCGTACAGAGTCAATGCCCAGGGCCAGCCACTTCAAGGAACCTGACAATTTCATGGGAGACCTCTTTGTGAGCGCTTCGATGCCGTCATAGAAGAGTTCCAGACAGACGGGCCGGTCCAAGTTTCTGAGTCTAGTCAGCGCAGTAAAATGACATTGTAGGACATGAATGGTGAGAGGGAGATAGATATTCATGGAATCATGGCCAAGAGTCAAGACATACCGGTAGTCACAAGCGCCTCGCCCATCTGGACCCTCTCCGTCCTCATCATCTCCCGCAGGAACAACTGCCATCCAACCAACGGCCACCAACGCACAACCACAGCCAGTGCCGCTGCGGGATCGGGTCGCAACGCGCCCAGCTCTGTGACGCGAACCCCATCAAACCATTTCTCTTTGAGCCCTTGCTGTGCACGCTGAAGGCATCTACCGCTGGTGGAGGGTGGACGGGCTTGAAACGGCGCTATGCCCGATCCTGAGCTACCCCGGCCTCTCCATGTCGGCTGTCCAGAACTTCTTTTGGTGACGGTGCTGCTTTCCTGCTGCTTCTTGAACATACCCTTGTCCCTGTTGTGTGTGCTCTTGGAAGTGAAATGATCCTTGCTGCTGCTCATCCGTGGAGGGGCGGCTTTGGTGGGGAAGAGAACACAAAGTGGCCAAGCCAGGGGCACAAGAGGCGAAAAAAGGGAACGGGGGGTCCTCGAAATAGGGAGAACAGCCGCCGGCGTCTTGTCTTGTTCCCCCTCCCCGATATTGGTACGGAATATTACACAGCAGTACTTGGCCCCTTTGTGCACGAGACATTGGAACAAGACGGGGGAGTAAACTCCAAGAGCCACACAGAATGCATGCAGTACTCAGAGACCAAAGACCTCTCCGCAACTAGAGAACAAGTTATTCCGTCTTGTCTTTGACCTTGCTTCTTTTCATCTTTGACTGTTCAACCAGCTGCCCCATTCGGAGTAGAGTTGACTCCCTCTCTCTCTCTCTCTCTCTCTCTGACAGACGGGACTGACCTTCGTTCTGTTTCCTCCAGCCACAGCATGGCTCGTAGATGAGCCGTTCGATGACATGTCTACAGTTTCCTTGGGGGCGGGCTGGCTGATCCTCCGCCTTCGCTTACTTTCCTCTCCCTGCACGTGGAGTCTCCTTTCTTTCCCCTTGAATCGACTGCCCAAATGGCCAGGTTCCTGCGTCCCATCATCAAGGCGAGGCCTCGAGGACCGACAGATCTCGCCCGAAAGATCATTTTCATGCGGGAAACGGAGGCGGTGCAGGGATCATGACAGTCCCTTGGGAAACCAAACCTTGGGCCGTTTACCTATTCCTGCATGCGATTCAATCAACCTCTCACCACCAGAACACCACCAACGGTGGATATACCCAGAACAAGGTCGACAGATCACCAGGTTGAAGGGGGGCCCGGTGGTCCAACCCGGACTACTGGACTAGGGGCGGCTGTCGCATCGCATTGACTAACCCCCTGAACTGCTCCGGACAGGGCCTTTTCGTCCGAACTACTTGCGTATGCTTCCCTATTCTGCGTCTGTCTGTCACTCTCATTCTCTCACTCACCAACTCTCTCGCCTCGCCTCGCCTCGCGCGCACGTCGCTTGACTTACTCTGTCTGCTGCTGGCAATACCTAACAGCGTACCACCCCCCCATCCTAGCTCTGTTTGAAGCTATATCCCCTCCCAACCAATAGCGCCCCCCTCTGGATCCTTGTTTCATCGCATTTTTGTGCTCTGCCAGGATTACCTATCCAGCGCGGCAAGTCTGCTGGGCGAGGGGTGGTAGTAAAGAAAGAAGGACTAAGGTTAGCTGTTGTACTTGTTGGCTAGGTTTTTTGTCGAGCTCGGGCGGGCCACGGACGTCCAATATCCCCCCTTCTCACTCAATCATTCAGTTTCCCTTCCCCGGTCATACAACCCTACTGGCCCTGCTTGGCTGCCCAGAAGGCCGAGATCCAGTCGTTGAGTATCCGTACCTTTCTTTGACGGACGGCTCTTGGGGGTTGTGAACCGGGATCCAGGGCCTTGCTTTGCTTCAGACTGGGAGGAGGAGAGGTCCGACTGCCGCCGCCGCCACCATGGCGATAAATCGTCCGGCGAGGCAGGGGACTGCCCAAAAGGTAAGGTCAATATAAGACGATCATGTCGCCGTCAACCTCTTCTACGTTTGTGGTCCATCCCTTCCTCTGCTGTTGTCTCGACCTCACACCCTCGTCCTCCCATCGACGTTCTTTCCTTTTCGTTGCGTGTATCCAAAAGCCAAGAGGTGGTATATTCTACCACACTCTGCTGTTTCGATTCGTTCCAAGTCACTCTTTGCACCAAGAAAGAAACCGAGCCTCGATCGGCCGTCACCCGCTGTTGTCACTTTTCAACCTTTCTCTGGTGAGTGTTGTACACCGTTGCTCTTCGATACCGGTCCCGTGGCTTGTCTCCTTCTTCCCTACACCCTCCCGAACCACCGGCCTATTGTCTCGGCTCTTAATATCAGTTCCTCTTGGCTTCTTGGGTTGGTGGCAACGGTATCTTCTACAAGAAGTACCGTGACGTGGGACCTGTCATCTGAGTCCGGGCCAGTCTGGGTCCAAGGGGGGCTCGCCGAGTGAAAGAGACCTTGTCTCGTCCGAAGGAGGAACAATAGGACATGATCCAGGCTTGTGATGCACAGCAGTCCTTTTAGTCACTGACAACAAGGCTGTTCGTGGAGAGCGGGCCGGTGCGAGTCGATTGTCAGTTAGTCACTGACACTCACGCGCCCTTCATACTTAAGGTGTGGATGGTTCGTGATGTCGATATCGAGGGTCATCAGCTTCTAAGCCCTATCACACTTTTCACATCACCCCGGCCTGGTACAAAGAAAACAAATATTTCAGTCTTTCCTTTCTTGAAACAACTTTCCTCGAGCAGTCTCGAGCTACTTCCACATCCCCTCGAAGTTGCGATTGGTTTGGAATTTTCTTCCTTCCATCATCATCAACACCTTCAACACCACTTACTTCAGTCGAGACTGAGAGCTAACCGCCAACCTTCTTCTCAGTTTTCACCTTCCTTACAACCATCCAAACACAAGAGAACCTCAAACAGCTGGCTGTGCTTCCTCGCAATGGGTTTCTCTACGGTCTTTACGGCCGCCGTCCTGGCCCTGCGCCTGTTCTCGGCGGACGTCCTCGCAGCTCCCGCGCCTGCTCCGGTTCCCCAGGCCGCTACTCCTGACGCTGCTGCCGGCTTCTGGGTCGCCTCGATTGAGCGCCGCGGTGTCTCCGCCTTTGGTGACGCCAACTATAAGATCTTCCGCAACGTTAAGGACTTTGGCGCGAAGGGTGATGGCTCTACCGACGACACTGTCGCCATTCAGGCTGGTATGTGATTCCCTTCTCTTGAAGCAAAAGAAAATAGTGTGCTAACCTCAGACCAGCTATGGACGAGGGAAACCGCTGCGGCTTTGGCTGTGACTCCCAGACTACCACTCCCGCTCTCGTCTACTTCCCCGCTGGCACCTACGTTGTCTCCAAGCCTATTGTCATGAAGTACTACACTCACATGGTTGGAGATGCCACTCAGCTTCCCACCATCAAGGCCGCTGCTAGCTTCACCGGTATGGCCGTCATCGATGCCAACCCGTACGACGACCAGGGTAACAACGCCCATACCAACCAAAACAGTACGTGCTTGCTTGATATCCCAAACAACTTGTGATGTCCAGTTGCTAACTTTTCGTCCCTAGACTTCTGGAAGCTTGTCCGCAACTTCAACATTGACCTGACCGGCATGCCCTTCACCTCCGGTGCTGGCATTCACTGGCAGGTTGCCCAGGCTACCAGTCTCCAGAACATCGTCTTCAACATGCGCACCGATGGTGGCGACGCCAACGTCCAGCAGGGTATCTTCATCGATAACGGCTCTGGAGGTTTCATGACCGACCTGACCTTCAACGGAGGCAAGTACGGTGCCTTCATGGGCTCCCAGCAGTTCACTACCCGTAACATGACCTTCAACAACTGCAAGACGGCCGTCTACATGAACTGGAACTGGCTGTGGACCTTCCAGGACCTCAAGATCAACAACTGCGGCGTCGGCATCGACATGTCCAACGGTGGTGCCAGCGCTCAGACAGTCGGCTCCGTTCTCCTGCTCGACAGCGTCATTAGCAACACTCCTGTCGGCGTCTTGACTGCCTACAACCCTTCGTCTTCGTCCACCAACGGTAGCTTGATCCTTGACAACGTCGACATGACTTCCAACGTTCCCGCCGCCGTCCAGATCGTCGACACCAAGGCCACCGTGCTCGCTGGTAACCAAAAGATTGGATCCTTCGTCCAGGGCAAGACCTACACTGGCACTGCCGGTCAGGGTAAGGCTGTTCAGGCTGCCCAGGATGCTATTGTCAAGCCCGCTGGTCTTCTCGCTTCCGATGGCAAGGTTGTTACCCGCAGCAAGCCTCAGTACGCCAATGTCCCTGCCAGCTCTTTCCTCAGCGCCAAGGCCAACGGCTGCAAGGGTGACGGTAAGAGTGATGATACCGCTGCCATCCAGGCCCTGTTCAACAAGGCCGGCCCCAACGACATTGTCTACTTTGACCACGGTGCCTACATCATCTCCGACACGATCGAGGTTCCCAAGGACATCAAGATCACTGGTGAGGTCTGGCCTCTTCTCATGGCCAACGGTGCCGCTTTCAAGGACCAGGCCAATCCCAAGGTCATGCTTCGCATCGGTAAGGCCGGCGACGTTGGTACCTTTGAGATGAGCGATATCATCGTCCAGACCCAGGGCCCCCAGGCTGGTGCCATCCTCATGGAGTACAACATTGCTGGCTCTACCCCTGGCGCCGCTGGCCTCTGGGATGTTCACTTCCGCATTGGAGGCAGCGCCGGAACCCAGCTTCAGTCCGACAAGTGCGCCAAGAACCCCAACGTCACCACGACCGCCAACCCTGAGTGCATCGGTGCCTACCTTCTCACCCACATGACGGCCCAGTCTTCTGGCTACTTTGAGAACACCTGGTGGTGGGTTGCCGACCACGAGCTCGATCTTCCCGACCGCAAGGCCCAGATCAACATCTACAACGGCCGTGGTGTTCTCTGCGAGGCTACCAAGGGCACCTGGTTCTGGGGTACCGCCTCCGAGCACAGCGTTCTCTACAACTACCAGTTCAACAACGCCTCCAACGTCTACATGGCTCATATCCAGACCGAGACGGCCTACTTCCAGGGTAACCCCGACGCCAAGACGCCCTTCACGGTCAACAACGCCATTCTCGACCCCAACTTTGAGACCTTCTGCACCGGCCAGAGTGACAAGTGCGCTCGTACCTGGGGTGTCCGCGCCATCAACTCCAAGGACATTCTCATCTACGGTGCCGGCCTGTACAGCTTCTTCAACAATTACGACCAGGTCTGCGTTGGTGAGAACAACTGCCAGGACCACATGGTCTCCCTCGAGAACTCGGATGTCAAGTTCTTTGGTCTCAGCACCAAGGCCGCCATCAACATGGTTACGGTCAACGGCAAGGGCGCTGCGCTCGACACTGACAACCGCAACAACTTCTGCGCCACTGTGGCCATGTTCCAGGCTCCCCTCTAGGAGAGGGCCAACATCAAGTGGTACAGTGTCGAGGCGGTTGCTGGATCCCTCTAGAAGAGAGTTACCGTGCTCCGAGAGGGGCGCCGTTACCCGCACGAGGTTTTAACGATCCCGTACGCTCCAAAGTACACGAGTGCCTACGTGCCGGGTGAAGCTTTCCCTATTCCCAAGGGTATTACCGACCACCACGTCCGTCACCATGTCCATCACCACGACCACCAGCCTACTGGCGAGCACGTCCGCGAGCTTCGCTTTTAGGATGGTGGCTGTGTTTACTTTCTTCTAGATGTAGTCGTCCGCCCCAGTGGTGCGTCGCTACATGTTCTTAACACACCCCTTTTTTATGCTATGGGATTTGGCAGGAGGCATACTTGCATCAAGGGAGTTGACGGTTTCTAGAAAACGGGATTAGGCCGTGGATCGTGAGAACACGAAGGTTTTTACGGCGGGATTGACATTCTTGTTTTGCCTCAAGGGCATTTTGATACCATTCAACGAAACAAAGTTTAACCAAGTTATCTCGTTCTTGAAGTAGCCTGTGTGACTGATTTGTAAAATTTGATGCTCGTATGAAGCCAACTAACAACAACAGCGTCATGACCTAGTCATAATTCAGTAATTGCCTCCCGCTTTCCTTTGGTGTCTTTCGAGTTCTCTCGCAATGTGTCCTCACCTTGTAATCCTCACCTTGGCTTCTCGGTGTGAGGCGGCGAGTGGCCTTCACCGAGAAAGAAAGGCGATGATTCGCCGATCGGCGTTTCCCAATGGCCGACTGCGCGCGTTCAGCCCCCATGATCCACTCAGGGTACGTACTGCCTTTCTATGGTACCGCGGTACCTCACTTGATGTGGCAGCAACGTCATACTCTGTGCATCGATTTCTTCCAATTCCAAGCTCTGGCGCCATTCCTCCCGCCGATTTAAGAGACCATCGTCACTCACGATCCAGCTCATTCCCAGCTTCCTTTGCCCTTTATGCGATAACAAACACTCCGAACTTCCTCTCTCACACACCCAAGACCATCACGATGGACACGCCACCAGCAGTAAACCTGCGGTCCAAGACCAGGCGGGCACTTGACGACCTCAACGGTGCAACCACGTCGCCGCCCTCAACACCCCTCAAGACAACAAGAAACAGTCCCTACCTGCCCACACCAATCGAGACGATTGTTCTGGCTGCTTTCCCCGTCATCCTCTTCTTCGGCACCGTCTTCTCGCTTCTCTCCCCCGACGTTCGCTCGTCGGAATACGACCCCGCAGCCCAGGCCCATGTACAAGACTCCGCGCCGTCGTACTTTGCGCGCAAGTCGAACCTGTTCAACGTCATATTCGTTAAGCGAGGCTGGTTCTGGATCACGGCCGCCTTCTTCGGCTTCATCCTTACGCACCCCGCGACTGCGCAAGCAACCGCGCGCGTACAGGGCACTCTACGATGGGCGCTGGTCACGACCTGGTGGTTCTTCGTCACGCAATGGTTCTTTGGTCCGGCTCTCATTGACCGAGGCTTCCGCTGGACAGGCGGAAAGTGCGAGATTATTGAAGAGAAGGTCGAGATGGGTGAAGGAGATGCCAAGGAAGTCTTCACAGCGGTCGCATGTAAGGCATCTGGCGGACGCTGGCGCGGCGGTCATGACATCTCTGGACACGTCTTCCTCCTGGTTCTTGGTACCGGCTTCTTATTGTCCGAGGTCGGGTGGGTGGTTATGCGCTGGAGAGGCTCAAGAAGAGAAGAACGCAGCGTTGTCATGACGGATGGTGCTACAAAGACCGCAACAGTCGAGGCGCAAGGTTTGAAGGGAGAGCCCGTCCCAGGTGATGCTTTGGGCTTAGGAGGCAAGTTTGCCGCTGCCATTATCGCTCTGAGCTCCTGGATGCTCCTCATGACTGCCATCTACTTCCACACATGGTTTGAAAAGGTACAGTATCAAATTCCTCGCCCTTGTACAACATTGCTAACGTATAATTCAGGTCACCGGTCTCGTGACCGCTCTTGCTGCGTTGTATGGCGTCTACGTTCTCCCTCGATTCATTCCTGCTATCCGCCAAGTCGTTGGTCTGCCTGGTATATAGGCAAGTCGGTATATCATATAGAAGAAAACCAAAAATAGGCACTGATGCCAGATAATACAAGAAAATACATTCCACTCGAAAATTGCTCGGACATTGTTCCCGATTCGCCGGCCGGTCCATGGATACCTCAACTCGGCGAGCGAATCGCAAGGTTCCCAAATCTCACGCAATCAAACGGTCAGACTACTCTTAGATCTGTTCATAGGCTGCGTTTTTTCCAAATGAAATGAATGTGTCGCTATGGTTACTGGTCTTTCGGTGTAGACCTTTGTCGGTGAGAAACTCGGTGAAGGAGGTGAGGAAGGTGAATGTGGGGGTCCGAGGTGGGGTTCCTGGGGTGTCCGTAGCTCCCAGTCCCGTCCCTTCCCAAAGTGACCTCATCCTCTTCATCTTCCTCTTCCTCTTCCCAACGTTACAGCAACAACAAATTTACTCCAGTCCCTCTGACCCGTACCAGATAGATCAATGTCTCCAATAAAGGCCCCGGTCAACCTGCCGGAGCTTGTCAAAGCAGCATTCAATAAGGCTCGCTCCAATGGCGACCTGACCTATTATGCAACTCAGGTCACAGTGCTCAACGCCAACTCAACCCCAGTGAGTCTGTCTGCATTGCATCACATATCCCTGGCATGAACTCCAACTGAAACTCGATTAACTCTTCCGCGCAGTTCCAACTCCGCTTCTCCCCCGCCTTGGCGAACAAGCCGGTCGCCCAGAAGCCCAAGAAGACCGATGAGCCACGCAAGCCTTTTGATCCCTTTGAAAGTCCCGAGAAGGGCCCGCTGTTCATCGCCGAAATTCCGTCGTCGTCGGGCCACAACTTGGTGCTGAACAAGTTCGCCATTGTTCCTGAGCACTTCATTCTAGCCACCAAGGAGTTTAAGCAACAGACCGATCTCCTCGAGCGCGACGATTTGGCAGCAACGTACTCTTGTATAGAGGCTTACAGACAGTACGGCGAACAACATCAGGGGTATAACAGCGAGCTATATGCCTTCTTCAACAGCGGCTCGCACTCGGGTGCAAGTCAGCCTCATCGGCACATCCAGCTGCTTCCAGTGGCGCGGATGATGGACGGTTTACCCGACGGCGCGCGATGGGACGTGCTAGCAAAACAGCTTGGCCCGCAGCACGTCTCCGGGCTGCCGTTCTTGACCTTTGCGGAGACGATCCATCGAGACATGACCCCGGATGAGCTTCACGGCATCTATCTATCACTTTTCAAGTCGGCGGTTGATGCAGTGGAATCTCACATCGGCGCTGAGAACGACTCTGGGAATGGCGGCGCACGCATCAGCTATAACCTTGCCATGACGAGCGACCGGTTGGCGGTACTGCCACGACTTGCCGAGGGCGCGGCCATCTTCAAAGACGGTACGGCCGTAGGAAATCTCGCTCTCAACGGCACCGTCTTGGCGGGAACGGCTTTGGTCAAAAACGAGGCCGAATGGGATGCGCTAAGGTCAGGAGGTGACGGTGATGGCGTCCAATTACTCGAAGTTTTATCGAAAATCGGCGTTCCCAAGGATAGCGGCGGAAGCCACACAAAAAAGCTGTGAAGGCACCATACACATCATGCACGTCCATGGAGAAAGGGAGGAGGGGGCAAACACACATTGCAGATGCGATGCAAGCAAACATTGGCCCAGCGGCAGGACTCTAACTAATAGAAAGCAAACATGATAAGTCAGCCGCATCCCACTCGATACCGAGATCTCCATACGAATACAACCACCAATGGTCTACCATCAATCGACATGTCACTTGTCAAAAATTACCATTTCGCTGTCCACATCACATCGTTGCCCCAAGAATCAAAGCCGATCGCATCGTCCCGTGCCTTCTCGGACTATACCCACACACTCTATGCAACCGAATCCATCACTCCATCGCGCCGTATACACCCATCTGGTGCCCCGAAGCACCCATCATGAGCTCGTCCCATTTCTTACGACAAGTCGCGTTGCCAAAGAGATAGGAGCCACCGTTCCTTTGGATGTATTCGGCGACTTGCTTCCAGGGGATCTTGGTGGAGGCGGGATCGCTACCCTTGGCAAACTTGCGGACGGCTCTCTGAAGCAGGTGGACCTGCGAGTTATAAGGTCAGCTGGTGCCAAGAAATAGAAATCATGAGGAAGAATGACAAGCAATAACTCACGTCCTTATCGGTCCACTCAGGCTTACGAACCCGTGCCTCCTTGCTCTTGGTGAGAGTGCGATAACGTCCACGAAGTGTCGACTCAGCCTCGCTAAAGTTTCCCTTGGCCCGGATCTCGCGGTACGTCAGGCCCTCTTGCTTGGCCTTCAGCAGGTATTCGTCCTTGGCTGAACGCTCTGCGAGATCAAGCGTAGAAGGTTGGGCCCGACAGGGCTTGGGCTGCTTTGGCCGGAGCTCAGTCTTGTGCATAGAAGGGACAGGCTTGCGAACTGGAGATGCTCTACGACGTGAGGAAGAGGAACTGCTATCATCGGCTCGCGATGAGCGTGGCTTCTCGGGGAGCTCTTTTCTGGGCCTGGACATCATGATCTGCTGGGTGAGTGGCTCATCTTTGACCCCCCTGAAGCTACCATGGCTGCTCATTGCCGCCTGTTGGCTCTCCACCTGTTGCTGATGCTCAACGAGCTGCTCCTGTGGAGTAGGGAAGAAGAGGATGGAGTTTGGCTCGGAGAAAGGGGGCGGTGACTGGGGAGCTGCCTTGATGCCGTTGAAGTCTTCAGGTACCATGGATGAAGAGGCGAAGGGTGAGTTGGCATACTCGAACTGGTCTGAAGGACTGGTGATGATGGTGCTGCCGTCTGCCGAGTTGAAGGAAGAGGAGTCGAGCAAGGTAGGAGGGGCACCCGCAGAAGAGAAGCTGCCAAAACTAGTGCCTGGATCCGATGCTGTGAAGACGGGAGAGGAGGTGGACATGCCGTGGCATAAGGTGT